CTGGATTTAGGTGTGAACTAGAAACATGCCTAAAGAATGTACATAAGGCGTGCCGATCTTGCACTCTGACCAGAGCAAGAACTGGTTTTGGCTATACTTAATCTGTCAAGCATCATCTTCTGAATCGTCCATGTGTCAAATCCATATTTTGACCAATACAATTCCAAAAGTACTTATGAGAAAAACCTATTTTTTCCAACTTCTCAAAATAACTCATCCTACTAATAAAAAAATGTTTTTTTTTAAATTTTATTTTTGATAAACATTTGGACAAACACCTAAACTCTTTATGAACTTGTTTGGAATGACTTTTGACCTTTTGAAATTCATTACTCCATTTATTCAATAATAATTGTCCACTATTGACTTGACACACCCCTTAAGAAACAATAAATAATAAGGATAATATTACTATTTTATCATTTGACTTTATTAAATTTAATGCTTTGAGAAATGTGTTAGATGATAAATAGTACTCTATATGCCCAATAATATTTGTTCACTATTGATTTTGCACACTTTTTAAGAAACTATAAATACGAGGGTAATTATACTATATTACCATTTGAATATAATAAATACAATGTCTTAAAAAATGTAATAGAGAAATAACTATAATTAATAATAAAGATAAATTAGGAACTAAGTGTAAAATTATACATTGATTTTAAAAAGTGGACATGTATTGTTGGATATCCTAAAAGTATAGTGAACAACTATTGTTGGACAGAGGGAGTATTTAATAGGAAGGGTAAAATAGACACAACAAGTAAATTTCTCTTAATTTTCTAAACTGAACAAATATTGTAGGACAACTATTGTTGGAAGGTGGAAATAGTTAACTCGAAAAGCGGCTAATGGTGCACCTTATGCCCTAAGATAAAATCAGTATGTAGCATTTATGAATTCAATCTCATTTAATTTGTTGACCTCAAAAGTACAAGTACGAGATTGGAGATCCTTCAAACTAGATGGATGAAGTCGGAATGCACACTAACTTAATGGACTAAAATAACAATTATTCCCTCCGTTTCACAAAGAATGATTTCTTTTCCTTTTAAATCAGTTTCAAAAGAATGACCTCTTTCATTTTTTGGTAACATTTTATTTTTAGTTTTCCACATGGCATGATTAAGACCACAAGATTAAGGACAATTTTGTACATTTGACATAACTTTAATTTAGGACCACAAGATTCAAAAGTTTTCTTTAATTTCTTAAACTCCGTGTCAAGTCAAACCAGACCAATTTTTTGAAACAGAGGGAGTAATACTTACACATCACCAGTTGCTTAACAAGAAACGCCACATATTACACACACTTAAGTTGCTTCAACCGTTAGGTTTCCTTATTTGTACGCTCGGTTTTTTGTCACACGTTTAGATATTCACTGTGCCTAAACAAAATATGGCCACATCTCTCTCGGTTCGGCCCAACCGTACCATCATCAGTAGTGACCCGGCCGGTTCAACCCGGCCTACTCCTATCCGCCGCCGTCCCGTCTCCGCTCATTTGCCGAAAATTCCAAACTCCGATTGTTCCCGACGGAGGCTGGCGTTTGCTTTCCACCGCCGGAAATTGGACACCGCCGTTCAAGCAGGTTCCAGAGCTGATGATTCGGCTCCTTTTGAGATGTCGGTAGAGAATGCCCTGAGGTTGCTAGGTGTCACTGAGGGTGCGAGCTTCGATGATATTCTTCGTGCCAAAAAATCAATTATCTCGTCTTGTAAAGATGATCCAGATACAATTGCGCAGGTCTGAAAGTTACTTCTGCTTATCTTTTCTTCAATTACTGTAAAATTGTTGTTTTTAAGTACTTTTTATGATAATTAGAAGCTTCCCTGCTTATCGTCTATGTTTTTGTGCACTTGGAACTCTATAGCTCTGTTTGAAAATCTTATTGCTGAGAGATATTGGCTTAAATGTTTTGGGTTTTAACCTGTACTGAATTGACTAGATTGGAACAATGATTAGCAGGCTGGACACTGGTTGTTGTTGTATATATACTGGAAAACCATATGTGTTTCTGCAGCAATTGCCATCATCTATTAATTTATGTCAAGTAGTCATTAGTCAATCAATCAACTATACTTCAGTCCGAAACTACATCATGGGATATATGAAGAACCATACATCCATTCTGCACGTTCTAGCAAATTAAATGTCTAGAGTATTCATGATATACCTCCTTATTTAGAATTGGAACCAGCTATTTGAAATTCGCTTTGGTGGAGTTATTTAAATAAGCATCAAGTTAAAATTGTTAGAAGGAAAAGAATAGATCTTTGAGTGCAAATTATTCTCTGCCTTTTTCCTCCTCCATATGTATATGTGTTACTGACTATAAGAAGCGGAACCTTTCAACAACTTTCAGGTAGAGGCTGCATATGATATGCTTCTCATGCAAAGCTTATCACAGAGGAGATCTGGAAAAGTTGTGGATAGTAGTGTACGCTTTGCTGATGTTAAAGCTGCTAATGCTTCTGGGATGGGATCAATGCCCAAGTGGCTGCAGACGACTGTCAAGAGCTCACCAGTCGCAGTTGAAGCACCAGCTGCTAAAGAGTTAGGTGTTCAAGCCGGAGTCTATGGAGCCTTAATGGTTTTAACATATGTTAATGGAGCCTCAACACCTTTAGGAGTATCGTATGGAGCTGATGTTCCTGGACTAATCTTAGCCACGAGCTTTGGGGCCACCTTGTACTTCATGACCAAGAAAAATGTCAAGTTGGGTAAGGAAGATAGATTGCTTTTCTTTGTTTCACTTCTAGGTTATATTTATTAAATTTGAGAGTCCAAATATAAACATTAGCATGTGATTTCGGTCATGCTAAAGTAATGACTAAGTTGTTAGTTGAAGTATATAATATCCCCTTATACGTGTTAAGTTTGCTCATTGACATTCTATACTAACTGAATCTTAAGCATTTTCTTTGGATCACTTAAGCTTTCACAATTTCAACTTACCCTCAAGAAAACCATAACTCGGATTGTAATCCTTATCATATGGATTTCGTAGATCTAGCCAAAGCTAGTTACAACTACTAACCTTGTGAGAGAAATAGACCTTGTCTCGATGCTCATGCTAGTATCCATAAAATCTTTTTGGCGTGGAAGAAGTGTCTCTCTCATCAACAGTTATCATCATTATTCACAGATTTTTCCTCTGTTGCTATTTCTTTTTTTTTTTCTTTATTAATAGGACTGGGATTATTGTCAATAGTTGAATGTGTTTTTTTCAAATTAGTGATGGATCCATGTCTTTTGTCACGTTGATAATGAACATACATTTTGGTCTTCAACTCCTAATACTCCCATTAAATCGAAGTTGTTGACTCTTTGATGAAGACTTCCTTTAATATTTCCTATAATACAAAAAAACTACGTGATGGTTTGATTTGGTGAGAGTTATTAGGGTGAGAATTAGGAATACGCATAATGCAATGTAAATATGGACGAAGCTTGTCATGTATACACTGATTCGTCCAGTGTTATGAACTAAAGAATTGTTTCAGTACAATTATTTGAAGAAATATATAAAAAAAGGATAAAGTAGGTTCCTTGTCATCAAAAAGAAAAAAAAAAGTTTGTATCTCGAATTTGAAAATGAGGTAGGAAAGATCACATTATACATATCACATTAAGGAGAAAGTAGGTTCCTTAAAGTTCCTTATATATCATATGGCAATGACATGAGTAGTAGCCACATAAGAGCCAATCAAATTTTGAAGTAGTTGATATGTGTGGAGGTACTGTTCTGGCATCTGGATAATGCAAATGAGACTTTGGAAATACCAACAATGGATTTATACTTTGTTATGATTCCGATTAGCGTTTTATTTCATCTAAACTGTATTTCTGCCAAAAAATATATTTGTAGAACTAGATATTGGCTTTCTGAGAAAAAGTGACTCAAACTTTACTTGCGAACAGGAAAAGCAAGCGTTATAACAATTGGTGGGCTCGTTGCTGGTGCGGTGGTAGGTTCAGCAGTAGAAAATTGGTTGCAAGTAGACATTGTCCCGTTACTGGGTATACACACTCCTGCTACGGTTGTGAGTGAATTTATACTTTTCTCACAATTTCTGGTCTCGTTGTATCTGATATAGGGTAACTCAAAGGCTTGTATGAACTGCTACTGCAAGAAGGTCTATGGCTATTTGTTGCCTACTCAGCTTCTTATCTAGGACCAGTAATTTGTTAAATGTACAAAAGAATGTTACTAAAACTCTGGAAGTTCTGATATTTGTTTTATAAAGCTAGTATAGATTCTCAGCTTTGCTTCTTCTATCAACGGTATTTTAATCCCAGTTTCATCTGATATCAATTTGTGGCTTACTGTGTTTTAATTGGAATTTGACGTATTCTGATTATTTTCTCACAGAAGGGTACATTGATTATAACAGGCTTGGACTCCTGTAGTGAAGTGCAGTTGTTAGCTACTCTTCAAATTAATCCATTTAGAGTATGCTTTCATTTGTTTTGTTAGGATTAAACTCTGTTGAAGGTTAGATATTATGCAATGGCCAAGTCAAGAAAAAGACTTTTAAATTGTTCATAGTATTCTCAATGACTAATAATTTGAAGTTATAGAGGTTTTATTTTCGGCTGTCAATCCATGCATATAATAATGAAGTCTATATATATGTAGGAAAGGCTTGTTAGCTAAGACAAACGATTTCAGAAATTAGTAACTTATTCCTTTTTGTTTGGAGAGATGGCATGGCGGTATTTGAACCTGTGATTTCTAACGGTTTACAAACTGATTGCTTTGGCTAATTATTTGTTTATATTGCAAAGTGATGCCATTTCTATTTCTTGCTGTCAAACTTCTGCATCACATGTGTGGCAATTACCTTCTTAGAGCCAAAAACCACAGTAACTGTGCTTGATGATTGATAAGTACGGGCTCAATTTTTCTGTAGCTTTGACTGAACAATCCAGAAAACGCTCTTATATTTTAGCTTAAGATATAAGAATAGGGGAACTAAAAACTGTCCTACGAAATCTGGCCTTTGACCTTGAAGAAACTCAAATCATGAAAACAAGTGACTACATCTCAGCGAGCTGCTTTGATGGCACCATAATATACAAACTAACAATTCAACTCTATGCATTAAATAAGGAAATCTAAACCAGCCAAAGTCATCTTTTGACATCTTCACCAGCTTGGGAGCTCTCTATGGATGGCGGGTTACCCATTTTCTCAGCCTTCTCACCACTGCTTAGTAGCTCGTTGTACATTTTTAGTGCTGCACTGGAAAATTCTGTTATAGACTCAAAAACTCTGCAAAAACCAGTCTGAAAGCCGTTCAGAGTGATCCTCTGAGTTTCTTGCATGCATTTCTGGTGTTCTTCCTTCTCTAGATCAACCCTTTTCCTGAAGTTGTCCAGCAAGTCTTTCCTCTCCTTCAGATACTCAGCTCTATGATCGATTTCGATCTCCGAGCTTCGGTCTGTGAGCTTGAACTCATAAAGCTTGTTCTCTACCTTTTGGAACGCCAGTGTTTTCCTATCTAATTCTTTGGACATGCTGTCAACTTTTCGCTTTTGTTGCTGTTCCTCTCCCTGCTGAACCCACAAAGCTCTTACATCCTTTCCGCAGCCTTTAAGGGCAACAGAAACTACTCTATCTGGCAACTTGTTCATGGCAGACAACCAATCGTGACAAATCATGAGAAGCGGAGGACCATTAGCTCGACAAGCTGGAGTTGAACTCCTACTTTTGGAGTAGAAATCAACTTCAGGGACTGCGAACTTGGACAGCCATCCATGGAGTGCTTCCACGTAAGCCTTCTGGGCAGCAATGTAATCCTGGAAGCGAGCGCACCAATTTTGAAGCTCAACGTCAAGCTGGACTGTGGCAAGCCGATGAGAGTCATTGCAGAACTTTCCATATGTAGGACAGGTGAAACTTTTCACGTCGAATATAATCTTGTTCTGGATCTCATGGGATTCCAGCATGATCTTCCAAGTTCTCATCATACTGTACCAAATAGACAAAAGAAGGTTAAAAAAAAAAGTGAGTCAATGAAGATGTTGGATTAAGTGATAGTTTGCTACCCAGGTTACTCTTCCTTACCCTTGAAGCAGTTCAATGATTTGAGGCTGCAGTTCATCATCTCGTAGTTCGTCAATTCTTTTTGATATGGTCTCAGCACTTCGAATTGTGACTAGGATCCTGCTATATAATTCTTTTACTGCTGCTCTGGTTTTGTCTGTGGTCCGTCTTTCATCTCCTCTGGCATCATGATTTTTGAGTTGATTGCACTTCTTCTCATATAATTTCCAAGTGCTATCTCCAGCCTGAAGGCAAGTCTAGATGTAAGGAACCGATCCAAAATGATCAATGAAGAGTGAAATAATTACAGTACTTGACAACTGAATATAGAAGTAAAGGCATTGAAGCATGTTTTTAACCATGGGGAGTGGTGGAAGTCCATAGAAAATTAAAGAATTGGTCCTACAGTAGGATTTATATCAGTCTAATACCAGAAGTACTCGAAAATATTGATAGCATATGCCAACTTATGTACAGACAAATACAGATGCCCCAGGTCCCATAACAAGCAACTGGGGGTCATAACAGAGATCTCAAAGTTTAATTAGCCACTCATATTTATGTGAATTCTGAGGCAGACTTCATAGTGTTCTTATATGACAGAAGATGTTATATGACTTGTTTTAGGCTTAAGTATTGCAGAAGAGCGTATCTTCTCATAGCGAGCAAGTTTTAAGGATTCAATAAGAGAGTATGCTTGGCCAATATGCATATACCTTAACCTCGTCATACAACTTCTTCTCCCAAGCATATAGCCTTCCTAGCGTCAGCAAATGGCTCCCAGAACCCATTCCACCATAGTCATCAAATAGATCATTCTTGAATTCTGTCCATGTGGAAGAACTTTTAGAACTAGACGCCACAAGACTCTTGCAGGATGGCGAACGAGATGCAGGAGACTTCCAAGTAATTGCTGGGATGATTTTTGTTGAGTTCTCTGCATACATGATATAATTGAACAAATTCAGAAAATAATGAAACCTGAAAATCTCAAAATTACTCCACAATAATAAGGTATAATAGATAAGTTTAGCAATTTAACTCTCATCAACAGCACAGCCCCTTACCGACACTGACCAGCCAAGACTATTCTCTTACCCACAATTGACTATTTTGTGTGAGAAATTGTGAAGCAAATCATGAGGGATAATAAACTTGGCAATGGGTGAATAATCTTCATAAAACGTCCATGAACATAATAGGAATATGATCGACACATAAACTAAATTGTTACACAAGAGTTTCAACAATTGGATAGCACTTTGCACTTTGCCTTCTCAAGAGGAAAAAAGTTCCTTCTCAAAAAACAACTGGATGCCACTTTCTTTTCCAGGAAAAAAGATTATCAAGTAAGACAAACTGCGACAAATCCTTCTTAGCATTTCCTAGTGGAACCAAAAACCAATTAATGAAGCCAAAAAAGTAAAGCAAAAGATTATCATGTAAGCCCAGTGGCAGCATATTCTTATCAGGAAATAGTAGTGGAGCCAAAAAAAGTGAAGAGGAACACAAACCTAAAGCAAAGGAAGATATTTCAAGAAAAAGTAATCCAATGAAAGATTAGACTTTGTTGAAGAAGTTTAAAATGAAATTTCTCACTCAGAAAAAGATAGTAATTTGATATGCTTTACCTTTGGGTTCTCCCAAATTAGGCTGTGAATGTACCCAATTTGCCTCTAACATCCTTGATACTTCCTTTCCAGCATCATATGCCTTGACAAAATGGTCTTCAATGTCAGTTAGCGCTTCAAGTAACTCCCTCCCCTGTAATGGATTATCCACAACTGTCAAACTTTTTTTCTGGTCCTCTTGGTTTACATTAGCAGTATGCACTGTTTGTTGTACAACTTCAGTCCCATATTCTCTTTGCTCCACATTTTCTTTTTCTTTAGTGGCTACTACCTTATTCTCTTCCTTCATTCCATCCCCTTCTTCATCATCTTCCTCTTCCTCTTCTTCTAAATCTGGAATTCCTTCTTGCTCCCTCACTGCCCTTAAATCCTCCTCAGAAATCCTATGATACCCACTAATCATCTCTGGCCTTACACTATTAAAAGGGTTGAAAAATTCCCAACCAAAATCTGTTGGTGGTGAATGCATCATCTGAGGCATTTCCATGTAATAATAGCCATAACCTTGTGGCTGCTGCTGCTGGTGGTGCTCCTGTTTCACAACTTTCTCTTCTCTCTCTTCCTCAGAAGAATCTGATGGGGTTGCTGTAGATTTATTGCATGGCCCACAGCAAATAGTTTCTTGGGTTGGCTCAGAAGGTGTTTGCTGAAGAAACAAGGGGTTTGAAACCACATTCTCCTTTTTTGGAGAAGAAGGGCAGCAAGGTGGTGGGAATGTGATGAGATATGGAGAAGTAGGTGTAGAATGACGAGCAACAAAGAGTTTTAAAGCTGCTGAGACTCCATACAATGCTTGACAGTACTTGTAATGTGCATCAGCCAGTGTGTACCTCCTATCTACAGCCAATTTCAGGTACTGTTTTCTCTCTTTACATATGGATACTACCTCTTCTTCTTCTTCTAACTTGGATGCAACACACCCCATTTCTCCCCCTTACTCAGCTTTGCAAAAAATAGGAGATTCTTGAAAAAAGGTGCTTTCTTGGAGGGATGTGTGGGGGGTGAAAAGGGATTAAAGTAAGTTCCTTTTTTTGTTTATTTTGGAACAGAGATTCTACTATAGAGAGAAACAAGAAGTCGAAAAATGTCCCTTTTAAGAATGGTTTCAGAACAACCCATTGAAACATAGAAAGAGGTTTTTAGGTAAAAAAGCAAAGTATTGGGAATACCCACTTGACCTTAACCAGCAGAGCCATAGCCATTTCCCCTGCAAACAAAGAAAATTTCTCAAACAACAAAACAAGAGAAAGAGAGAGGAAATAAAATATAAAAAATAACTGTGTCAGTGAAAGAGGATGTTTTTTTCCCCTTTCTTTTTTTTCTTCCAAGAGAAAAAATGTTGTAGGAGAGATTTCAGAGAGAGAGAAAAAAATAAATCAAAAGGTGAGTTAAGAAGAGATGGTAGGGGCTCGAGGTAAGGGAAGAGTGATGAGGGTATTCTTGTGTTTGGCAAAAAATAATTAAAATGTTATATACCAAGGTAAAGAATATTTATATTCAATTTTAGAATACGTCATAAATAAGTAGTTATGATATTTATAATCTAATTATATAAATATTTTCAACTGTACGGTGAAAAGTACATTTAAACTATTCAAGCTTTTCGAGTTTCATACGTGAACTATAGTATCGTTCATGTACAAAACTCACACATTGAGTATTTCATTTTTGTAAAATTAAAATTTATATAAAAAAAAGTATATAAAAAATTGTACTTTTGCATTTAAATTGTGGGTGAAGTCCGTCACAAGTTGTGGCAGTTTAGAATCTAAATGAGCTTCTTTCTTTCTTTCTCACTGCCATAATTTAGCAGAGATTTTTGGTTTTTTTGGGGAGAAGAGACAGAAGAGAGTCAGTGTGAGGTGAGGGAATAGAGGAGTCAAACTTTGGTCAAACCTCAAAAAAGGGTAATATAGTCTATTCACTCTTCCAGGTAAAGAGCTAATCTTGCAATTATTTGAAGATAATGACTATTTTTTCCACTTGTCAGCTTCTTAGCTAGGGATTAATCACTAGCTTCCCTTAATTCTTATGCACTGTCATTCTCAGTAAAACGAAAATGACAATTTTATCCTCAACTTTGACGGCCTTCTTTCAACTACTGTAGCATTACTTTTTGGTAACTTAATTTATTTCGATTTTGAAGTTTGTTTTTAGCTTCTTTTTTTGTATTTATTTATTTTACTTGTCGTTTTTATGGAGTAATGTCTTGCAATTGGGAACAGTGCATTATAAAACAGTCTAAAATATTAGCGGGAAGTGTTTACCGTTTGCCTTCATTAAATAGTGGATGCTTTGTTATTTGGGAAAAAATTCTGAAAATATTTTTTGACAAAATGAAATGTACTTGTAATTTCACTTTTTTATGACCTTTTTGAAATGTACCTTGTATATAAGAAAAAAAATTATACGTTTGGTACTCTAATGTATATTTTTCCTTCCGAATTTTGATTTGCAAAAAAAATAAAATAAGAATCGTTTGGTACTCTAATGTACTCGCTCCATTTTATTTTACTTGACATTAGTATGTAATTTTTTTTTTTTATTTGTCTATTTTAGCAAATCAAGAGAGTCTTAACTTTTGGTCATGAAATTTGATAAGATTTTAAAATTTTGATTTTTAAATGACCAAGTTTTGAATTTTTGGGACTTTTACTCATAAAACTTTAATTATAATAAGCATGTCCAAATACAATTTTAAGTTTCAAATTTCAACTTCAAAATATATGAAAACTAAAATGCTTAAAATCAAACTCAATATTGTTTCAAAGCTCATAAATCTCTCTAATAGGTAATTAGAACACTCAAAATAAATTTTTTGTTTCAATTTATGTGTTTACTTCTTTTTTTTTAAACTTTGTTTAGAAAAGAATTGTACTTCATATATCTAATAACTCGTTAATTTCAATCTTTCACATGATATTTAAAATTATAAAATTCAAAGACAATCACATGATTTTAAATCTTTTACTAATTATTTAATTAAAATATGTAAAATAAAATGGTGGGAGATATTTTAGTTCGTAATCGACTAATTAGTGGCTATTTGTATAATAGTATTTTGTTTTTTATTTATTTTTTAAAAAGGAAGATTCATATAAGACGATTTTTAAAATAAAATAAGCACACTTTTTGTTTTACACCTTATACGAGAACAAGGTTAGAAGACATTGACCGAATCTGCACCATTTTTGTTGTTTGAACAGTTGAACCAAACTGCATTCGACACTTTGCCCACTAGGCATTACTTACCCCTTCAGCCACATGACACTAATGTTTATTAGCCCTTAATCGATTGATCGTAGCTTCACGTTGAGAATACTGTTGAATAAGTAAAAATGTATTTTCTCTAACAACTTGATTAAACTTTTAGATAAGATGGTAACACACTTTAATATGATATTAGAGCAAACAGAAGTCCTGAGATTATAAAAAAAATCGCGTGTTTAACCCATGAAAAAAATTTAAGCTCACACATGAAATGGCATGTTGAGAATACAATTAAATAATAAAAAATATGATATTTCATCTTACCGTACGCTTTTTTCAGTTCTCATAATTAAGAATAGTCGCTTTTATAGAGATTCAAATTTTACATATAAAATTATAGAATATTGTCAAGAAATCTATCTATACTTTTGTCTATCTACTATTTGTTTGTTTCATAATCATTCTCATGAATATCATAAAAAGGAGTGGTAAAACGATTAGAAATTCTTCTTTTTTTAAATTAAATATCTCATATTTGATACTTGAAAAATAGATAACTTCACTGTAAATGCCACTTTACTCTTTCGATAGACCTATTTGGTGTAAATTCAAATTAATCGAGCATGTTATTATACTATCTCGACGATCACTATAATGACACTGAGGGGTCGTTTGGTAGGCCGCCTTAGAAAAAATAATTCATGTATATGTATGATATTATTTAGTACTATGTCTGGTATGAATTTGGGCCCATGTATAACTAATTCATGTAGGTTATACATTCTACATAGTATTATAGGATGTATTATTAATACCTTCCATTTGGAGGTATTACTAATACATATGATATAATACCATGGGATAAGCCTGTATAAAGACAATATCTCTCTAATTATTTTAATTATTTTCTTGATTTTATGTTTTATATTTGTACTAGTAAATTTATTTAAATAAATAGCTTACAAATTATTTTGAGAAAGTTGTTTGTTACTAAATAGATTTAATACAAATTCGAAACACCAGTTATTTAACATTTACTAATTAAAAAGGCAAATATACCACTACATGACATTTGTGATCTTAATTGAATATATTATATATATATATATTAGTTTTCTAATTATTTGTATTTTGAACAATTTAAGAAATTACATACATATTAATATTACAACTTGCAATTTTTATGTCTAAATGTAGATGGTTTATTCAACTTTACCATTGTTGACTGTCTTTTCGATTTTAAAAGTAGATGGTTTATCTTTTTAAATTGAAATTTTGTGAGTGATCAATTTATTAAGATGACAATTATTTATTGTCAAATAATTCAAATGAAAAAATAGCAAACATGACAACAAAATTATTTTTCTCATAGCTAGTTCGAAGGTCATTAAAAATATAATATTGCAGGCAACTATCTACCTTAACTCAATCACATAATAATTCATGGGTATAATTGGAAAGAAACTTTTTATAGAGTTTTAATCCAAACACAAGATGAGGTGAGAAACAATAAACCAAACACTTGATTAAAATAAACATATCATTACTAATCTCTGCATTACTAATTCATGCGTTACTAATCCATTATTATTAATATTTGTACCAAACGACCCCTGGATGTATTGAATCACAACACGTGTCGATATTATTTCTTTGGCATCTCCAACCCTACTCTCTATTTTACTCTCCAAATATAGAGTTCTCTAACCAACTGTAACTCAATTCTCTATTTTACTCTCTAAAAATAATTTTCTTCTCTCTCCTCAATATTATATTATTATTTCTATTTCTATTTCATTTTCTTATTTCATAATATAAATCCGTTCTTTCTTTTTTCAAAATAATCACCCTTATAATTTTCATTAATTCTTTATTTAATATAAAATTATATTTTATTGTAAATTTTAAAGAACAACTACAAATTTTTTTTAAAACATATCAACAAGCACAACCGCAATCACAAACACAACAATTCTCTAGATCATACATTATCTTTTTTCCGAATATTGTTATATCTGAAAACGACCTACTAAATTGTTGTTGTGATTTTAAAAATCATTATGTTATGTATTGTATTGTATTATTATCTTGTATTTAAATTATTATGTCATGTATTGTATTTTTAAATTAAAATTTTCATTTTATCATTTAAATTTTGTGCATTCTTCATAGTGAAAATTAATAATAATATCAAATTATCTCTTAAAGTGACAAAAATTGAAAAAAATATATTTAAAATATTGTTAATTCGGAATGAAAGTAGTATATATTAAATAATATATATTTTAAAATATTGTACTATATTTAAAAAGAATTACGAATATTAGAAATTTATTTAATAGCCTTATATGAAAAATAATATGTTAGTTACAAATAATAGAAATAATATTACAATAATGAAAAAGTGAAATAGAGAGATGAATAATAGTTCTTCAAATTTGGAGAACTACTATTCACCTCTCTATAAATAGAGAATGGAGAGTTTTTTAGAGAGTCGTTAGAGACTCAATTCTTTATTTTACTCTCTAAATATAAAAAATAAAGAGTAAAATAGAGTGAAATTGGAGATGATCTTACAACCATTGGATAAGTAGATTTTAGAAAGAAAAAAAACAATAAAGTAGGGGCTTTTACAGGAGTTAGTCAGCCATAAAAACAAGTAAAATAATCATTCTTTTACCAGAAAAATACCATCATGGGGTCGTTGATAATTGAGCCTTTGATTTATTACAATTTAGAAAAATAAAATAAAAGCAGAAATAAAATGTTCATGCTAAAAAATCACGATAAAATTAATACAATATTTTTTTTCAATTATAATCTTATAAATCTGTTTTCTTAATACTGTCTAATTTTCAAGAGACATTATTTAATAAACTTTATATTACATTTATTTATTTCTTAATGTACATGGTTTTTACTAAAATATAACGTATTAAGTTACTTATATTTTTTTAACCTGACTGACTACTGCATCCTATGAAGAACGTCTTCTTGTGGTGGGGGGAATATATCTGACATTCTGACA